ACTTTGCAAAACTTCGTTTTTTCAACCATGGATCTGAAGAAAGTAAGTGCGAAGGACAGTGCTGAGAAGAAGAAGCGGATGATGTGCATTGAATTAAAGTAAGAAATTATCGAAAAACATGACCAAGGTGTGTGTGTAATCGACTTGGTGAAGCAGTACGAGCATAGCACTTCTACGATCTGCACCATACTGAAGCAGGAGTCGATACAGGCTACATCTCCAGCCAAGGACGTTAAAATAATTTCTAAACAGCGGGCATCTATCCATGAAAATATGGAGAAGCTGCTAATGGTGTGGTTAACGGAGAAGCAGCTCGCAGGAGATACCATGATGAAGGCTACAATCTGCGAGAAGGCACGAGCTATTTACGCTGATTTGCTGCAGCAGATCCTAGGCACTTCAATGGATGAGGCATTCGGCGAGCCGTTTAAAGCCAGTCAGGGCTGGTTCGAAAATTTTAAAAAGAGGACCATCATTCACTCCGTTGTCAGACATGGTGAGGCAGCGAGCGCGGATATAAAGGAAGGTGACATCAAGGAGCTCATCGAGGAGCACTCCGAGGAACTGACAACGCAGGAGCTAAAGGAGCTACAGACGCAGCAGCACACGGAGGTTTTGCAGGGAATAGATGACACGGAGGAGGAGCAGGAGGAGGAGGAGGAGGAGGAGGAGGAGGAGGCGGCTATCTCTATAAGTGAGATAAAGGAAATGTTGGGAATGTGGGAGAAACTTTCAGACTTTATTCAAAAGAAACACCCAGAAAAAATTGCATCTGGGCATGTGATGGAGCTATTTAATGACACTTGCCTAACTCATTTCAGAAATATTCTGAAAGGGAGGATGAAACAGATCTCATTGGGCAGGTTTTTATTGAAAACTCCTGTAGATGAAAGCGTGGCAAAAAGAGCAAAAATCAGCAAATAAGATTCAGTTATTCAGTTATTCAGTTCAGCCTTTCTCCTCCAACTCCATCAGCATCTTTAAGTCGTTTGATCTCCAAGGTAAATGCTGTACATTAAACTTAATAAAACAAGTTTATTGCACTACATTCTACTGTTTAGTATTGTGTTTTTATACAATATTCGTTATTTTTAAATACATTTTTTTCTTATTTAAAAACATTTAACAAAACAATTGCGGTGTTTTTTTGGGTGTCCAGAACAGATTAATGGCATTTCAATTCACTGTAATGGTGAAAATTGATTTGACATACTAGTAATTTGAGTTACGAGCTCAGTCACGGAACGAATTAAACTTGTAAGTCAAGGCCCCACTATATACTGCTAGTACATTTCCTTAGCTCACCTTATGAAAAAGTAAAATAAGGAAGGAAATTTAAAGAGCAATGTAGTGCTATTAATCTATGTAAAAATTCAATGATAATACCCTTTTAAATCACAGAATACTTTTTATGTTTTTTTATCATGGATTAACCTAATCCTAACACCTTCCTCCTGTCGTGTACCTGCTCTTTATACTTTGAATTAAAGCTCCTACATAGTGTTTTTATCTCAGTATCTGAAAACAATTACTTTCTTTCAAAAAGATAATCACCAATTTTAATATAACTTTTGGAACATTGAAAATATTTTTATATTTTAAACTTTTAATATGCTTAAAACCATACAGGTAAAAGGTTTATAACATTAATATGTATTTTCATCTATAAATATATTTCTATACTAGATGCCCGGTGCACAAAATTCATGCATGGGGGTTGTCCCTCAGCCCAGCCTGCACCCTCTTTAATCTGGGACCCCTTGGGGGATGTCCAACTGCCAGTTTAGGCCTGATCCCACAGGGCCTAACTGACAGTCGGACACCCCTTTCACAATCCAGGACTGCTGGGTCCTAACCGCGTGCCGGCATGCCTGCCTGATTTTCCATAACCGCTTCTGCCTGCCAGCCTAACCGCCCCCTAACTGTTCCCCTGCATGCCTGATTGACACCTAACTGCTCCCCTGCCTGCCTGATCTCACCCCCAACTGCCCTCCCCTGCTGACCTGATCACCCACAACTGCCCTCCTCTGCTGGCCATCTTGTGGTGGCCATCTTGTGACAACATCACTGAGTGCTCCTCACCACCTAGGCTTTTATTATATAGGATGACATCTAAGTATAAATTTAAAAAGAGTCTTTGTATTCTGAGAACTATCTAAGAAGTCAAAGGAGTAAATTGCAACATGTAGTGTTCAGAAATGAAAATGTAGTAGTGTAATAACTGTTGTCTTGTACTAGTGTAAATGTTCATATAGACTGTGATGCCAAAAAAACCCCCACAAAAAAACAGTTTAAAAGAAAGAGGTTAGTCATGTTAAGTACCAAGATGGGTGGAAAACATAATCTTTGGTAGAAGCCAAGAGGAGCAAATTGTCAAAATGACGTTAACTACAGATGCCAATAGAAGGGACTAAAAATAAACTGTGAGGGTGGATACGCACTGTTGTTCAATGAACATATAACAATTTTTTTCTGATCAGACAAAAGCAGTCACAGAAACAATGGGGCTGAATAGTTACCATTAGTGTTGTAGTTTGCAACAAATGAGAAGCAGACAAAAACAACAACACTGAGCTGCAGAGCTTTTCTCAGAGTTGATAGCATCAGAGAGATTAAGAGAAATAGTTTCTCAAATTTAAAGGTTTAGATAACTTTCACAGCTCACTTAGTAATAATGAATTTGGAATTTACAAATTGTAAATTGTTTTCACACTAAAGTACTTTTCTGTCAATGAGAGAAAAAAATACTAATAGTGTGTATTTTATTTATTCTAAGGCATGTTCCTCTAGTGCATTAAAAACTAAAATAACAACCACAGAAAATCTCAAAGTAAAAACTGCCTTTTGGTAATGAGTAGAGAAAGAGATTCTAGACCGAGCTGGACTAAACAGGTTGATATAAAACATACATTTTAAGAGTATAAACTTAAACTCCAGAACCTTAAAATTGGGCATGTTCAACTTCATGAAGCATTGCAGCTGCTCAGTGTGCACATGTAGTTCCTGTATTCCCTAGCAATTAGACAAAAGGAGATGGGAAGTAAGATACTCACTTAATAATGGCTATTTTATATACAAGGCACTTAAACCTAAATTTTATATTACCTCTTGATATTCAAACTGACCTCTTTACCTGCTGTGAAGATGTAGAGCGGAGCTCAATAAGTTCACTTAATGTGGTTCTTTTGGACTTTGGTCTAAGAGTCAGAGGCATCAAGGACCGTTTGTTTTCACCATGCTGTCTTCTGCAATGTTATTGTACAGAAAACATGGGGCTCCCTGAAGTTAGATGGCTTACATAAGTCATTCTCTGGTCCTCAGCTTCCATGGTGCCCAAGATATCAGACAAGCACAGAGAAGGCTGATCAGGTTCACTCTGAGGCAGAGACACACTTGGCCAAAATAACAGTGCTGCTCGTAAAACAGTCCTGATCTAGAGAATATTTCAGTGAAAATGAGCCAGAATGCCTAACTTTTTTTTATCAGAGAGATGTATCACAGAGTTGAGAGAGCTTAAACTTATCTAACCTAACTGAGCTTCTAAGTTGTTTGTTCTACTTAACATCTGTTTTACATGTAGTCCATGTACCATAATCTTTCTCATAGTGTAGAATAAGTTAAATAATATTTATTCATTCAATAGTGTATTTTTCTTGTTTATTGAATTTACTAGAGGCCCTGTGCATGAATTCATGCATGGGTGGGATCCCTCTGGGTGGCCTGCAAAGATCAGGCCGAAACCTGCAGTCCAACGCCGCCTATAGCTCCTACCTGCCACTCCCTCTCATCCTGGCCCCCAGTGCACGAATTCGTGCACAGGTGGTGTTCTCTGGGTGGCCTGCAGGGATTGGGCCAAACCCCGCAGTCCAACGCCGCCTGAAGCTCCTATCTGCTGCTCCCGCTCGTTCCAACCCCACTGTGCCTGCCACAGGCTTATTCCCAATCAGTCCTGATCAGGAGAGGCTTGTACTGCCACAGCAGCGCTCACCAACCATGAGCCCTGTGTCTGGCACCCTCCCAAGGGGAGTGGCCATTGGGATCGGGCTAAAACTGGCTCTCCTACATCCCCCAAGGGGTCCCGGATTGCGAGAGGGTGCAGGCCAGGCTGAGGGACCCTACCAGTGCACAATCAGGCTTGGGAGGGACTGCGGGAGGGTTCCAGGGCATGCCCGACCCATCTCGCTCAGTCCAGATCTGCAGGACCCCAGCAGCAAGCAGGCTTGGGAGGGACTGCGGGAGGGTTCCAGGGCATGCCCGACCCATCTCGCTCAGTCCAGATCTGCAGGACCCCAGCAGCAAGCTAACCTACTGGTCGGAGCATCTGCTCCCTGGTGGTCAGTGCACGTCATGCAACTGGTTGACCAGTTGACTGCCTCCTTGTGGTCAGTGCACATCATAGCGAATGGTTGAGCTGCCTCAGCATTTATTAGCATATTACTCATTAATTGGTTGTTCGGTTATTCTGCTGTTCAGTCTACTTGCATATTACCTTTTGATTATATAGGATTAGAGTAAAATTGGTTAGTAAAATCATATGGTTTTAAGCTTTCAATTCTATAACACATCTGCATATTATATTAAGTGTTTACCACCCCAAATCAAGTCTCCTTGCATCACCGTTCATCTCCCTTATATCTTCCTTTACCTCCCCCTCATGTGTTCATGAGTGTTTTTATTTGCTTAGTCCCTTCACCATTTTCACCTAGCCCCCAACTCCTCTCTCCTGTAACAGCTGTCAGTCTGTTCTCTGTATTTATTAGTGTGTTTCTATTTTGTTTGTTAGTTTATTTTGTTCATTAGATTCCACATATGAGTGGAATTATATTTATATGCCTCCTAAATGTGCAAGCATTATTTTAGGCATAGAGGTACAACAATGAACACAAATGCTAAATTCTGTTCTTATGTAGGTTCCACTCTAGTGGGAGAGGAAAAACAGTAAACAAATAAATAAGGTACATAATTTCAGAGAGCAGTAAATGATAGTGAGACAATAAGGGAATAGAGAGCACTTGGGGGTTGGGACAAAACATAGTTAAAATACAAATGTCAAGTAAGGCTTCTGAGAAGAGATGGTGTTTCAGTGGATTTCTGACCAAGGGAAAAAGGCCAGACATATAAGGATATAGGGCAAGAGTATCTCATGCAGAGAGAATGGAAGGTACAAAAGTGAGGCCAGAATAAGATTATTGTGCTGCAGGAAGGGAAAGAATACTGGTGTTTCTGGAGCACAGTAAGCTTGAAAGGTGTAGTATGACAAGATTAAAGATATAAGCAAACCATGTAGAACCTTAAGATTATATTATAAGGAAATGGAAGCCATTGAAGGATTTCAAGCAGGAGAGCCACAACATTTCCTACTGTGTGTTATGCAAAGAGTGTATTGAACCAAAAAAAAAAAAAAATAGAATCATGGCAACAAGCTGGATACTATGGTAGTAGTTCAGGTAAAAGAAGAATTAACTCAGGCAGAAGTGGGATGGAGATGAGGAGAAGGAGACAGATCTGTGATACATATAACTTTTTGTTGTTAATCTTCACTGCAGGATATTTTTTCCATCGATTTTAGAGAGAATGGAAGGGACAGAGGAGGGGGAGATAGGAGATAGAAACATCCATGTGAGAGAGCCACATCAATTGAATTCCTCTTTCAAGTGCCCCAGTTGGAGTGGGGAATCTGCAACTGAGGTACATGGCCTTCATTAGAACTTAACCCACAACTCTTCAGTTTGTGGGTTGACTCTTTAACCACTGAGCAAGCCAGACAGGGCATGATGCATATATCTTGAAGGTATAATCTTAAGGACTTATTCACTTATAAAATGTGTGATGTGAGGTAAAAGAGGAATTAGAATTACATCAAACTCAGATTTCTAGACTGTGTATCTGAATGAATTACACATATAGAAAAGATCAAAGGATGAAAATTGGGGACAAAGGGCAAGAACTGAAATTCTGTTTTGGAAATGTTAGGTTTAAAATTTTTACTAGAGATCCATGTAGTAGATATCATTTGGGTAAATATGGCAGTGTAGATTTTGAGAAAAC